CCAAGCCTGTTGCTGCTTCAGTCTTCGTATAGCTCATCCTTTGCTTGAATCATTACGATCTTAGTTATTTCATGGCTGATTCTTTCTTATTGTTTGTATATTAAAGTTACCTCCTCAATAAGTCTTTCCTGATTATTAAGGTAATGTCCCTTCCTCCTCCCACCATCCACCCTGAGCCTCCACTGACGTCATCTCTTGTTTTATTTTCTTCATAATATTTAATCACCTTGTGAAATTACCTTGTCTTTGTGTCTGCTTGTTTATCATATGTATCCCACCCCTAGCATGTAAGTTCTGTGAGAGAAAGGACATGTCTGAAGTACTGAGAGTGGTGTGTGGCCCATAGAGGGCTCTCAACAAATAGTTCCTGGGTGGAAGAATGACTAAATCTTATATAGCTGCTTTTGTGCTCCAGAAAATCTTTCTTAAGATTACCTTTAATGTGGTCATGAATCTTTGGCTTGAATATTTCAGTAACAGTATTCTATCTCATTAAAGTGGTTTAGTTTTATTATGAGAAGTAATGTATAATCCATAATTAGAAGAATTATATTTCTTTATATTGAAACAAAATCTGCTCTTCTGTAACTTCCTCCAGTTGTCTGTCATCCTCCCATTGAAATCATGCAGAGTAAATCTAATTGCTCCTTTGTGATGTTACTGAAAATATTTGGGGAAAAGGATTATAATAATTTAAGTCTTCTCAGAACATGCCCAGACTCTCCAGCTGTCGTGTCTTCCAAAACCTTATTATTCCTGGTCACCTTTCCTTAAGCCTGCTTCTGTTTGTCATCATCCTTCATAAAATAGGCCTCCCAGAGCTGATTCATATTTCACTCTGCATAGTCTGTGTTGAAATAGTGGATTACTACATTATCCTGAGTAATCCAACTTTTAAAGCAGATCAGCATTGCATCATTATTTTGACAGTTGTGTAGTCACTCCATATTGAGCCTGCAGTGACGTAACCTTGAACTCCCCTTTTTTCGAGTCCCTACATAAAATATTTTTACTATTTCCCCATTCTGTACTTAAATAATTTTATTATTCTTTGTTTATTGAATATCTATTAAAATTCATTTTACTCATTTCCAGACTTTAGGAACCATTGTTTTCTCATTTAGCTCTTGGTTATTTTCCTAGTCCTAGTAACATCCAGCAGTTACTACTAGTATATTTTTACTAGTGGTGATATCACACAATTACTGGATAAGTATAATTCCTGTCATAACCTAAAGGATTAGTAAATTAGTAGTGAGGCAGAATATATTGCTGTCCTGAACTGCCCGTTAGAGATCAGAGCAAGTGGCTTTAGAACAGATTTAAAAGGAAGGTAGTTTTAATTTTTCTCTCTTTTTTACATATATGTAATCAGAGTTTTTGCTAACCTGACTGTCACCTAAAGAATGAGGAGGAATTCATTAAAAATGGCAAGGAGAGGCTAACAGTTTTTCCAATAGAGAGAAGTCCAGTTAACGTGCAAAAACAAGGTAAGCGATGGTTGTCAACCCTTAGAGAACTGGAGGCGAGCTCACTGTGGCTGTGGTTAGAGGACCAAGTACAAAAAGATACTTCAAGCCGTGAGAGACAGGTAAATAAGTGCCAGAGCGTCCAGAGCTTCGTGTGGCAGCCCTGGCAACATGACCTCGCAAAGTCACGGAATCTCCCAGGCTCCGTTTTCTCGTTGGTGAAAGGATGTAATAAAACCTCTTTTGCCCGTTGCGGTAAAAGTAAAGTGCATTAAAGCTCCTAGCATAGTTTCTGTTACAGGATTCTCTCTAAAAATGTTGACACATAATTTAAAGAACTCTGCATCTAGTGGAAATACTCTGGCCCAAAGAATAAAAAGAATGAGTTAACCAAGACCTTTTGGGGGCACATAATCTATTTTGTTAATTATTTTTCTTGATAAGCCAAACATTAGTGGCATTATGAAGATTCAGTGAGCTAGTCAGTCAGAATTTTTTGTTATTTTATTATCCAGTGTTTAAACAAGCCAAAAGACTAATGTTAGAGGTTATAAATCCCTTTATTATACTTGATACAAGCAGGATGTTTTCTATTAATAATTGTGTACAGAGGTCTGTGCAAGTGCCTGTAGCATGTGGACTACTTTATGAGTAGTCTGAAAAGAGTTTTTTGGAGTAGTTTTCCTACTGGTATTTTGTTTTCTCTCAGTTTTGTAAATTTAAAGAAGATAACATGCATATCAGTTCTGTAGATTTTATCTTAGAAACTACATCTAACTATTGTAAAAATGACACTTTTTGAAAGTACTGGAAAATAAAAAGTTGAGTTCATACTGCCCACGCTAGTTGCTGTTAATATTTACTAATTTAGAGAATTTCTTTTTAATCTTTCTCTGTTTTTGATTATCACATTGCAGGTAGGTTCTTTTTTTTTTCCCCCCTTTTAATAGTAAAAGTAGGATACTCAGCAAAGTTGAAAGCCGTTTTCCTCACCTTTTTTCCACTGCCCAGAGGTAGTTACTGTAAATAGCCGCTTTTATTCTTTCTGTTGGGCTTCCCTGGTCGCTCAGACGTTAAAGAATCTGCCTGTGATGCGGGAGACCTGGGTTCGATCCCTGGGTTGGAACAATCCCCTGGAGGAGGGCATGGCAGCCCACTCCAGTATTCCTGAGTTGGCTACAGCCTGTGGGGTTGCCAAGAGTCGGACACGACTGAGCGACTCAGCACAGCGAAGCATTCTTTCTGTGCTTATGATGACTTCCTGGGCGAGTCTGACTCATAACAATGTCTGCAACAAAGGTTGCATTGATGTACTTCATATATATTAACTAAATTGAACTTCTTTTGATCAATCTTATTTGATAAACTATGAGTAGAAAGTTAAGAAGTATGATTACAGTTAAATTTTAATCATTTTAATATATTTAATTTAATCGTTAATGTGTCCTCAGTCCAGTACTTAACACTCACTACAACCAGCCGCCTTTGGAGCTTGGTAATATTTATACTCTTTAGCTTTGGCTGGCATGGAATAAGTTTACAACTTCAAGGTAATTTGCCAGTTTTGTCCAGATTGTTTTTTCACTAAAATGTTTAACTGTTACTTTCTGTTTACAGCACAGATGTGAAAATTTCCTATCTTACATGTACATTTTGTTTTATAACTTTATAGCAATATGACTTGGAGTTACATAAAATTAACCAATAAATTTAAATTATCTTATGAGGGTTTATGATACTTTTCCCTGACAGTATGCCTTTTAGAGCTGTCAGTTCTGTGCAGGTAGTATTTGGTATCAGGAGTATGTGGAGCTGATAAAATAAATGTCTGGTTTCAGATTAGAAGCCAAATGTATCTTTCCTACCTCTTTAACTTGGCAAAAATGAAACCAAATATATGTTAAATATTCATTATTAACACAGCTTAACAGACATATGCCCGCATACAGATGACTAGATTAAAATACACAGTTTTCAACAAATTCAACAAATTTGTTGCTGGTTCCATAAATATAACTTGAGTGTCTGTGGTATGGAATTAAAAAGATGAATAAGACGCAGTTCCTTCCCTGGGCTCTGCAGTCAATTTTAGTCCTTTTTTGGTTTATAGATAGAATTGAATATTGAGGAGGGCTGAGACTAAGAATTTCAGAGGCAGTGAAGAAGGGAGAGGAAGTAGTTTGGAATACTTCATTGAACTTTATATTAAAGTCTGGAATCAAAAATAAGAATCAGATGAAGAATTGGTATTAACTAGAGGAGTGTGTTGTTTCTGTGGCCCCCGACTCTTGCAGAGCATGTTAATGAATCCATGGATATTGAGCACATTCTGCTGAGAGAAGTTTTTAAGTTCAGTATGTTTCTTATTAAACATATCAAGGACATTATTTCTGGCCAACCATATTATCATTAAGTAGTGTTTCTTCTGCAAGCCAGGAGATGGAGGGATGTGGACAATGGTCATCTTTCCATCAGAAAAGTCATTTCTTGGAGAACCTGACTGAGATGAGTAAGACTGTTCATGTAATAGGGCATGGCTTCCATTGGTTTTGCAAAGTGTCATTATCTAAGTACCTGTGATTGTTCTTTAGGGAGAAATACCCAAGGCACTTTTTTATTTTTAAACCTCACATAATGTTAGACCAGTAGATACTATAATGTATTCTTGAGGTAAGGTATAATGATGCATTTTTAATAAGTTTCTTGTTTCCTCTGCTCCTTTACTTCTGTCATGTAAAATTTATTTTGTGATGGTGCACTTTTTAAAATCATCAATTTCATTCCGTACAGACATATGAGTTTATTGTGAAATTGACATCATTCTCATTATTATGCTCTTTTTCTCTCTGCAGCAGGTAGATTAGGGTCTGACATTTTATTTCCCTATGAATTTTCCACGACTCAGGAAACCATTCCTCTTTGGTTACAGTTGCTTCATCAGATGTAAGCGAGACAGTGAACTTGAGCAGGTTTCACTGTGTATGGAAGTCAGAGAGCCAGCAGGTGACTATGCCAAGCACTTGCTGCTAGTCACACAGCTCACTTGAATTTCTTGGCTTTACATACTCCTTTGCTCATTGATAAAGCCTGTGATATTGCTCTCTGAACCTCAGGGATCATTTTGTATAATTGGGATAAACTGCTGATTTACTCTAAGTCTTCATGTACTAGAACTTAGATGCATTTCCTTAAAAATCAAATGTTGAGAATGAGTTTTAAGATAGCAGCCAAGCCACCTTGTATATGTTTGGGGAGGTCCTGGCTGTTCAATCCCAAAGTAATGGATTGGGTGGAGGGCAGGGAAGGAGTTTTGCTTCATACGTTATAAATTTTAAATGTTTGTTAAGTGAATGAATAAATTGCTATCTCTTCTCACATAATTCATGAAGAACCTGCTTTACTTTATTCTTATTGAACATCAGTAATATTCGTACCTTCCATTCCCTTTTGTATATCAGATACATAGTATATACACATTGGTTATTTCCCTGTTATAAAAATACTTTCCCTGTTTTTTTCCTCTTTTCCCAGTTTCTCAAACAATTAGGTCTGCATCCTAACTGGCAGTTTGTTGATGTGTATGGAATGGATCCTGAACTCCTCAGCATGGTACCAAGACCAGTGTGTGCAGTGTTACTTCTCTTCCCTATTACAGAAAAGGTGACTGTTAAGTAAGAGAGTTTCTGGGAAATGCAGAGTTCTTCTTCATTGTTGAGTTCAACCTGTGCTCTTCTTTGAGAACACGTAACTCTTATTCTTGCGTAAAATGAGGAAATCTAGGAGTGGGGACATCTTAAAAATCTAATTTTATTAAGGAAATGTATTTAGATTTTGATTTGTAGATTGACAGAGAAGCCCTGGGTAAGTCTTTTAAACTTGGATAGTTTTTTTTTTAAATATGGTTAATATGCCTTACCTGTTTTGATGTGACATTTAATCACATTTTGATGTATATACTTTAGAAATGGATAATCTTAAATGTGTCTTAGAAAGTATATGAATACAGAACATCTATTCAAATTTTCACTATATAAAATATGTAAATTTTTTCAACACATCATATACATGTATAAACAAATATTTGTTTTAAGGAGGCAAATATAACTAATGACGTGGGTTACATTATTTTCAGAAAAAACTTGATTTGGGTGGAAATCTTTAAGCTTAAAATACAGTTTAATCTGCAGATTTAGAATGTGTTGGGGATTCTAAATAGCTATTCTTAGATCTCTGTATCCAAATTCAGATCTCTCATTTCAGCCTTTCTTCTAGAATGATAATCATGTAGATGTTGGTATTGTGGAGCCAGAAATTTTAAGCTCATTTTAAAATGACTTCGAGACTATAGCCTTCTGATTTTTCTTTTTAAACTTCGAGATAATAGGATGAGCTCAGCATTGTAAAAAATGTAGTAAGTGCTTGGAAAGATGTGAGAGAAATGAGTAAGTATTTAAATTTACTTATATAAGTAGAGAATATAGTGATCTGCCACTTTTTGGTCTCTCTTACAATTTGGTAGATCCCTTTTTCAGCTCATAACAAGTGACATAATAAAGTCACAGAGGATATCTATGGATATTTTAGGAGCTATAAAGTATTTTAATTTAGAAACTGATTATGTAGCTGTGAATGGCTTCAGCATACTAATAGAAAAAGAACTGTCATGGATACCTCATTATGATTTAAATAAAGTCAGTTACAGTGTTTTAAATATGCTACGTTGTAGTGCTTACCAGCCAATGAATCACAGGTGAAGAAGCTGTAAAGTCATTTCTCTCTCATATTAATATTTTTGTTGTCTCTTGACTCTCTGTTTGCACTGTAGTCTGCCACAATTGCTTTTCCTTTTTTCCTAAACCTGCTCTGTGTCATTTTAGGATTTTTTTTCTAAACATTGAATCTTAAGAAGTTATCAAATCTCATTTTGCTTTGTCACCAAGGAGAATTGATATTAGACAACAATAGCAGACTAAATGGAAGGATTGTATAAACATTTCAGCACAAGACCTTACTGTATTGAACCTTTCAGATTTTATCAGTTGGACTATATGCCTGAATTAATGGTTCAGAATTTATTCAGAAAATATTATTTTAAAGTTTGATTTAGAAGCACATTCACAGAAATTATTTTTTAAGGCATAGGTGCGTTTGTTGTTAAAAGCAGTTCCTTAATTATGGGTTTTTAATAGACATCATTTATTTCTGTTATTGCAGGGGTCAGCAGACTTTTTCTGTGAAGGGTCAGCTAGTAAATATTTTCAACTTTGCAAGCCTAATAATCTCTGCTATCAATATTTAACTTTGCCTTTTAGTATAAAGACAGCCATAGACAAAACAAAGCTAAAACTTTATCTATGAAATCAGGCAGTGGGCCAGATGTGGCCTGTAGCTTGTGGGCTATAGTAAGACTCCCTACTCTATTGGAATATGAAAATTACAGGGAACCATCAAAACAATAAAATTATCTTTCTACTCTTCGTTCTCCTTACTCAGTTTTTAAAAATCCATTTTCTTCAGGTGTAATTGATTTACAACGTTTTATTCTGTCCCCCCTCATTTTTTAATCTCGTAATTTTTAATGCTTTTTACAATTGAAAAAATAACTTGCTGGAGTTTCATAGCTTATAATGGTGGTAGGTTCAGGCAATCAGATGTAGAGCACACACTTTTGACCTAATTGTACCGTATTGTTTTTACTGTCAGTTGTTATAGATAATGGTTAATGTTATGATTATCATACGGTTGTAAATGTAGTATGAATTTTGTTAATATGATGTAACAATACAGAAATGTGAAAAATAGAAAATAAAAATTCTCCTGTAATATCTTAGCCCAGAGATAACCTCTGTTAAGTTTATATCCTTTATCACTTTTCAATGCATATATAAATATTTTTAAAACATAATTGAGAATCATATTAATATATACTGGCCTAAAACTACTCTATAATAATGGACAGATTTCTGAGTCAGAATATGTAAATCCATCTTATTCTTTTTAAAATGCATTAAAATATGCCATGTTAATTATATATCCACCGATGTATAGAGTTTTTCCAAATTTACATTTGAGTCCTTTTTAATGTATTATTTTTCACATGTAGACCTTTTTTATTTAATAGTATGAAGTATTCAGAACAGAAGAAGAGGAAAAAATAAAATCTCGGGGACAAGATGTTACATCGTCAGTATATTTCATGAAGCAAACAATCAGCAATGCCTGTGGGACAATTGGACTAATCCATGCTATTGCCAACAATAAAGACAAGATGCACTTTGGTATAAACAGTTTTTCATTACTGCTCTCTTCCCCCTCCTTAAGTTGTAAGTTAACTTATTGAGCAGTAGGTGGTGCTCTAGTTCTTTCTTTGAAATAGTAAATAAAGCTTTTCCTCCCTTCTTTGTTTTATAATGGGAATGTACATATTTCCTATTAGGGAAAATTTTTATCCTTCCGATTCTTCTATGTTGTTGATAAACAGAGGTTTAAGCCCTGTCATTTATCTTACATTCCTTACTTACCAATGAAAGGGCTTTAACCTGAAAAATAGTTAGCTTGCTTCTCATATTTTCGTGTCTCAGTCTCTTTGAGATACCAGGCCTTTTCAGTTTTATCATCTTTAATATTCTCAGAATCTGGATCAACCTTGAAAAAATTCCTGGAGGAGTCTGCATCAATGAGCCCTGAAGAACGAGCCAGATACCTGGAGAACTATGACGTCGGTACCTTTTTCTGCCTTGCTCTCATATGTGGGCAAAGTTCTGTGGAATTGTAGATTCTGTTTGGGAGTTTGTCTTGAAACTACAGTTTTGAGCAATTAAGGATTTGGTCGTATCCATTAAAAAAGGCCTTTTGTACTTTTCAGGTAACATTATCTGAAATAACCATAAATGTTGATAAATTGTCACTTCTTTTCTATGTGCAGAGCTGAATGAGAGGAAAAAGGCAGTTTGATTTACAAATTTATAAAATATAGTTGACCATTCCTTACCATTCCCTTCCTATGGTAAATATATCTTTGGCAATACCCTGTGTGTCTTTCACTGGGAATTTGGAACAAGGCTGAAGACCAGTGAATGGAAAAAAATAAAGGTTTAATGGTAGATGTCAGAACATTCTCTACCTATTTCATCAGTATAGTAATATTTTTTCATGTGTGAGGACACAGGCCACATAGTCTAGTTTTAAATGATTATACCATATCATAGAATTTTTTTAGAGTGGTATTTACACTTATTATATTTGAAATCTATTTTGCTTTTGAAGGCTTTTTACTTTTTAATGATATTAAGTGGATTGTACATTCTTTGAAACTGTAAACAGTATTGTGTAAAAAATTACTTGGCTAGAACAATGTTATGCAGAGTTTAAGCCCAGTAAATCCATTGATTTGATTATGTTGTTTTAACATTCTCATATACATTGATTGAGTTATTTTCTTAAAAAAACCTGCAGATCTCATGAAACATCTTTATTTTACATAAAAGTAAACAATATAAAATTCACCAGTAATCCCACCAGTGACAGGTAGCCATCATTACTACTTTTTATAGGGAGTATATAAGTACATACACAAAATTTGATCACACTGTAATATTGTTTTATAACTTGCTTTTTTCACTTATCACAAACGTATTACATACCAGTAAATATATATTTGACATCATCATTTAATGGCTGCCTAGCTTTCCATTGTGTAGTATTTTATTTAATCAATAAATTATTGTCAGAAGTTTAATATTTTTCCCTGTTTTTTCAACATTTGAAAAAATGCTGCAAGGTATATCATTGTAGCTAAATCTTTGCAAACATTAGTTATATATGATTGTGTAGAGTTATAATTAAATATATAAACTAGAAAAGAAATTGATAGATCAAACAGATTGCATGTTTTTTTAAAGCTTTGACATTATTGCCAAATTGCCAGTCGTAAAGGTTCTACTTTCACCTGTAATTTACTTCTTTGTCCATTTCTCTTCATCTTTGCTAATAGTGGATATTACGAGAGCATTTTTTTTCAAGTTCAGGAGCGTGAAATCTCTAGCTTCTGATAAGTGCATGCTTTTTGCTCCATATTTCTAAAGTGCTGACTGAAGCTGCATGATTAAGCATAAATAGAGCCAGAGCTGCAGAATAGCATGTAACCTGGAGAAACAGATGAGCTAAGCTTTTTCAGTCTCTATCTGTGAGATGCTTACTTTATTCTAGTCTCAGTTGAATAAAGTGTTAAATGTTAGTTCTAACAGTTAAACAACATAAATGACCCCCACTTACCACTGGCAATTGCAAATAAGCAGATACTCAGTTTCCTGAGGCTTTGGAGATTTGTGGGTTGGAAAGCAGAGCAATTTATTTGGTTACTCAGAAGTCATTCTTAAATATTTAGTGTTAAACTGTTCCAGAAATCTCCTCCGGTCTGCTGTTTCTTAACAAGCCTTTAGATGTTAAAATTTGGTATTGTTGTTTTCATTCAAAAAGTTGAATATAATCATTTTTTCCTATTAATACTTTATATTCTTATTACAGGCCATTCGAGTTACTCATGAGACCAGTGCCCATGAAGGTCAGACTGAGGTATTTCACATTTTTCAAAACTTTTCCTGCCATGTGTGAGTTTAATCACAGTATTATTGTATGACACAGTTTGGAAAATTACTTGGATATTTTTTTTTCCTTTGAGGGAATTTGCTTATGTAAAAGTAGTCACGAAGTAGCCCAAGAATGTGTGTTGACCAACCATGAACATGATCTTTGATAACAGCCATTTCAGTCTAATCATTGAGACAGATTGCAAACTGTATGCTCTTTGCCTTGGCTAACAGATGGCCTGAGTCTTCCCCATCAGTTTCCTTTGACTTGCAGGTATTAAAAAAAAAATACCTGCACTATAGTAAAGGTAGATAGCTAGTATGTCTCTGCTCTTTAATATGCTGTCTAGGTTGCTCATAGCTTTTCTTCCAAGGAGCAAGCATCTTTTAATTTCATGGCTACGGTCACCATCTGCAGTGATTTTGGAGCCCCCAAAAATAAAGTCTGTCACTGTTTCCATGTTTCCCCATCTATTTTCCATGAAGTGATGGAGCTAGATGCCATTATCTTAGTTTTCTGAATGTTGGGTTTTAAGCCAACTTGTTCACTCTCCTTCACTTTCATCAAGAGACTCTTTTAGTTCCTCTTTGCTTTCTGCCATAAGGTTGGTGTCATCTGCATATCTGAGGTAATTGATATTTCTCCCAACAATCTTGATTCTAGCTTGTGCTTCATCCAGCCCAGCGTTTCTCATGATATACTCTGCATACTCGGGAAATCTGTTCTGGGCAATGTGATGAACTTTACCATCTCTACTGTTAGCTAGTCATTTATTGAGCTAGGTCACCTTTCTGCTTCTCTTGCCTCTTTTTTCACAAGGGTCTCTTTTTCCTGAGGGCTTCCCTCATTCCCTCCTTCCATTTCTCCTTTTTCTTCCCTACAAACCTCATTCTCCCACTCTTGGGGGAAGTTTATCAGAAGATTTTTCAATCAAAATGAATAAAATTTACTTAAAATCATTTAGTGTATTTATAAAAACATTTAAGTGTTAACACCAGAGAATTATAGACCTTTCTTCATTGTTATCCCATGTGTGACTTGGAGCCATGCTTTTTTATTTACAAAGATAACATTGCCTCTGTGCTTTAAAAATACTTAAAAATTACTGATTTAAGAGTATTGAACATAAATATTCCCATGATCTTCAAAAAAAATTTTTTGAAGGAGAAAACAGTTTGATACTATGATATGACTTCAGTTTTTTATAGCTCTCTTAACTGTGAATGTGTATAATAACATAAATAAACATAAACCTAGGAATTTATGTCCCTATAATTATATTATACCTTCTTGGTTGCTCTCAGGTTCTGCTTTCAAAGGTGTGAACCATTGCTCTTTATTTTTTTTAATTTTATTTATTTATTTTTGGCTGTGCTGGGTCTTCATGGCTATGGGGGCTTTTCTCTAGTTGCGGCAAGTGGGGGACCTGAGCCCCCAGGGAGGCCCCTGAACCATTGTCTTTTTGACTAAGTTTATGCACACACCCAAAGGGCATGTCCAAGGGGTTTTGGCACCAGGTTGGAAATAAATGGGACACTGCTTTTTGTATTGTTTTATATGATCTCGTGCTGCAGCCCATGGCATCGCAAAGACTCAGACATGACTGGGTAACTGAAGAACAACGATGTGGTCTTGAGCATGTTCTTAATCTTCACTATGCTTTGCTCTTTTGTTTGTAAATTTGTAGTGTTAAAAATAGCAATGCAATGAAGATCAGCATGAGATTATCATAAAATATGAAAACCATTATTTGTAATAAATAATTAAATACTTTAATACATGTTTACTTTAAAAGTTGTCTTTACAGTACCTTTCTTGCTTTCTTTTTGGCCTTTATCCAAATTACGACTTTTAATACCTCCTTTTAGATGATGTTCACATCTCTTTCTCCAGACTGAAACTTCTTGCCTTCTATGGGCTTTTTTATATGACTCTTACTATTTGCATTTTAGCTATTTTCATACTCTTTTTCATTTTTTTAAGGTGTATTTTTTCATATTTCAGCAGCTCTAAATTTATGGTGTATCTTACCATTGATGTCATAATTTACTTGGTGACAATACCTTCTTTAGTGGTACATAAGTTGTTACATCTTCAAGCCAGTGGTGCCTTATATACTTTGAAATGTGGTGTCATATCTCCTGACTCTGGTCCTTAGACCTAGAATTGTTGTTGGATTCCTTTGAGTACACTCCAGAGTACCCAACACCATTCCTGGTGCATAGGTAAAACACATATTTATTAATTCTCCAGAATTAGCTCAAAACTATCCTTAGTGGTGTAAGAACTACCAAAATAGGCTGAATCTTGGCCTTCTGTAGTCCTTGAGAAAACTAAACATACTATTAGCCACTATTCCTCAACAGGGCACTGTTAACATTTTGTGAAGAGTTCAGTTCTTTATTGTAGGGGTTGTTTTGTGCATTTCAAGGTGGAATATAGATTATTATATTCTAGACATTATATGTCAGTGACTTCTAGTCACTGAGAGAACAAAAACCCATACCATACATTTCTGAATTTTAGTATTAGCTAGCCTAAAACGCCTGCACCAGGGACAGTTTTTGTGATCTTTTATTTCTGGTTCATCTACCATATGTGGACGTAAGAGTCTTTGACATCTTATTATCTCCATTGCTCTCTATATTCCAGTACACTGTTTTTTGGTCAGTTTCTACAAAGCACTTCTGTCTTTCCCATTTGTATTTGTTTGATTGGACTGCCATAACAAAATACCATAGACTTGAGTGACCTAGCAAGCTTATTTTCTTTCTTTTTTTAAAATTAGTTAGTTGTTATTTTTTAAATTTTTGGTTGCACTGGATCTTTGTTGCTGCCTGAGGGCTTTCTCTAGTTGCAGCTAGCGGTGGCTTCTCCTGTTGTGAAGCACAGGCTCTAGGCACACGGGCTTCAGTGGTTGCAGCTCTCAGGCTTAGTTGCTCTTCGGCTTAGTGGCTCTGTAATCTTCTTGTCCCCTGCATTGGCAGGTGCGTTCTTATCCACTGTACCACCCGGGAAGTCCCAGAAATTTATTTGCTCACGGTTCCATAGGCTGGAACTCAATATCAGGGTGCCATAAAGGTTGGTTTCTGGTGGGGCCACTCTTCCTGCCTTGTGGATGGTACCTTTTCACTGTGTCCTTAAGTGGCTCTTCTTTTTTGTGCACTTAGAGAGAGAAGTCTCTAGTGTCTCTTCCTCTTTTCATAAGGATACCAGCTCTGTAAGATTAGGCCTCATCCTTACGACTTCATTTAACCTTAGTCACTCCTTAAAAGCCCTGTCTCCAAGCAAAATCATGGTGGGGATTTGGGCTTCAGCATATGAATTTCGGGAGAATACCATTCAGTCCTTACCACCATTTTTGTGCTTTGTAAGGTCCAGTCTTTGTCTGGATATACCTTCCTGTTTGCATAGTTGGCACCCTCTCATCCTTTAGGTCTCACCTTAAAAGTCATTTTTCAGAGAGGCTTTCTTTCATTACTGTTAAGTAGGGCCATCTCAGTGAATTTTCTGTCATAAAATCCTTTTGATTTTCTTCCTGGGATTTTAAAGTCTACAATACTTTTTTGTTTGTTATTCCATATATTTACTAGAATATGATCCCATGAGGATATGGGTCATCTTTGTCATATTTACCTTGAATCTCCAGGACAATGCTTGGTGTCCTGCATTTATGCAGGCATTTATCAAAAATTGCACAGTATTAAATAAGGAGCACAGGATGTAGATAGCTTAGGCAAGATACTTTCCTCAACATAAAATGAAAATAATAGCATCTACCTTATGGAATTGCTGTGAAGATTCATGAATTAATCACATAAAGTGCTTAGAATAGTACCTGGTATTTAATGGGCCTTCAGTAAATACTAGGTAGTAATTTTATTTTACTAGGCTTTCAGAAAAACAAACATGGATGGCAGAGGATGAAGCTGAACAGTAGAGTGAAGCCAGTTCAAGGGGTGGCTTGAATTTTATAAACAACGGAGAGTCACCAAAAGTGGCATGTTTAATGTTCAGCATATCGAGTTTAAAGTGATTTAACGGATCACCTGTGTAGAAATTGAATGTGGAGTCTAAAGCTCCAGGGAGATACCTGGTGTCTTGTATTGGGTTGGCCAAAAAATTCATTCAGGTTTTTCTGTAACAGTTTATGGAAGAACCTGAACAAACTTTTTGACCAACCCAATATCTTGTCTGGAAGTGGTTAGAACCGTGAGATTCTACTGAGGGAGAATAGTGTGAACTGTAGTGAACCCCTAGGGTACCTGGATGTTAAGGGAGTGGGTAGAAGAAGAGCTGGTAATAGCAGTGTAATAACAATTGACATCATTGATACTGTCTTTCAGAACATTTTCATGGGAATGGAGTAGGTAGGAGCCTTATTGCACGCAGAGATTTACAGACTAATTGAGACATCAGTAAAGATGAGCCACCAAAACACAGTAGTCCTTTTAGAAGATAGGCCATAACCTGTGGCTACTTGTATTTTTTTTCCCATCCCATCATAATTGTCCAGCACACTTTGGCTAATCCAGAAATTTGGACAGTAGCCCCACCTCATTTATGCTTCATTAGCTTATACTGAAAGTTACTGCTTTCATGTTTCACTTGAGATTGGGAAAGTAAAAGAACAACAGTAGAATATGAGGAGATTAAAGTGTCTTTTAAATTGTGAAGAAATATCAGCGATGCTATAATGGAAACAACTTGCAAGTCGAATATAAAGCAAAGAAAATAAAAATCCGAAAGAGTGTTTTATTTGCCTTCAAACTCCAGTTTTATTTCATGGGTAAAGCAATTTCTAATGTTTGTGATTTGTCCATATTAATTTAGGAGCCAGCCCAAGTATGAGTAGACATCTCCTCATAATTTGTTTAGCTTTTCACAAAAAAAACAAAATTATTGTATTGCCCAGGAACCTCCATACAAATTTATAGTAATATTGAAAATAATAGAAACTGGCACAGTTGCTTTATCTGTGTATT